TTCTACATAACATAAGGACATTAATATGCATCAGAAAATGTAATAAAAATTTGGGGTGATTTTGAAGCCATTTATTGGAAGAAAATCATAATCATTAAGATTAGACATAATGCAATGAAGAAGGTACAGTGCACAGTAAGCATACCACATAACATTTAATTGCCTCCTTCTCCATTTCTATCACGTCTCCTACAGTTATCTTATAAGGATCCTTTGCCTTCTTTAAATAATAACAGTTAGGACTGTGTGCACAATGCTCCTCCCTACATATGGGCGTGGCATGTTGTTATAATCAAAGGGGTGTGGTCAAAAACATAAACTAAGATACCATGGATCGTCTGTTTCTTCCCATCCATCCATTTCATGATGGCACACAATGCATCGGACCCAGTCTGGAGTAGAGGATGTACCACAAAAGTAGAAACCAGCTTCTGCCATCTACAACAACATAAGACAAATAAATGTACATAGCTTATAATGTCACAGTCCACCTTCAATGGAGTGCATTTCCCTGTTTCATACGGCCAATATGATCCTTTAAATGTTTCTAATCTCTGCTCCACTGTGTAAAAGGATCCTTCGAATATACTAACACTTTCTTCCTGAGTTTCCTCGTCTCTAGTTTCTTCAGCTTCCGCCATTTTTTCAAAAATTTGTTAATTAAGGCCACTCCAATTTGATTCCTTGTTTCCCATTACCCGCCCGCATGGGGCCGCATCGCTATTCATTATTGCGGTTTTTCATTGATTATACAAGCAATTTATACAGCTGATAATGAATAAATTTAATGAAAATGAACAAACCCGCCCGCCCGCATCAGGCCCGCCTCTGTAATGGGAAACTATGAATCTTATTGGAGTGGCCTAATTTTAATAAAAATAGTTAATTAATTAGCCCCACCCTTGCTGCAGATATGGCTGTGTTCATGTCTTTTTGCCTTCTCCTCCTGTTCCTTAACCAATCTCTAGCTCTTGACAATGGTCTTGGCCTAACTCCACAGATGGGATGGAACTCCTGGAATCACTTCCACTGCAATGTAAGCCAAGATCTTATTAAAGCAACTGCAAAAGCTATGATAGACAAAGGCCTGGACAAACATGGCTACCAATATGTTAACATTGATAACTGCTGGGCTGCCAGCAGTCGTGCTTCAGATGGTAGTATAAGGTCCAATCCAGTTACATTTCCTGATATGAAAGGATTGATTGATTATGTTCACAGCCTAGGCCTCAAGTTTGGCCTGTACAGTGATGCTGGTACCAAAACCTGTGCTGACCATCAGCCTGGTTCTCTAGGATATGAGACACAAGATGCAAACACATATGCACAG